ACATGTGCACGAAACTTACCGTGTTATAACTCTCGATAGCTTTTCTGTATTCTCCCTGTTTGTATAAATTGTCACCTTCCGCTTTGTACGTCTCATATGTCCCTTTGGGCCCACCTTCTGAGTTCTGGTCGTCATACATTTTGAGATTGCGTGCTATAAATGTATTGATTGACTGTATTAGCTACTAAGTGAATTACAAAAATGGCGGAATAATGTTTACGGTAACTTGGTAACTAGGGCCAGAACGAGGCTAGAACTATGGCGCTACAATCGCATTATTCCAAGACGGCCCAGGGCATAAACAAACAGCTACATTCTCGTCTCTCCATTTCCATTAGATTAACTGCATCAAATGGGATTACAATAGGATTGTCAAAATTAAATATATAGAAATATAAATAAAAATTATATGACCTTACTTTATAACTATAACGTTACTGAATGACATTTTTTGGAAAGATACATGTACAGTTACGGCGGCACTTTCAGAGGAAAACGTCTTGCAAGCTGTAGCCTGTAAATGTACAGGTACGGTGCACGTACAGCATGTACATATGCTAGACATTTGCTCTTGAGTTGCTTGGGTATGTGTGTCGATCAGCCTAAGTAAGACCTGCTGGTATACACCTAAATCTACTAGTACTATTACCGGTACATGTACAAGTTAATCAGCAATCAGCCTAACCTCTCTTGTCCGTGTCTTGTGTCTTACAAATATACACATGTATGTGTTGCGTGTGTTTCGGGGCCCGCGGTGAAGGGCTCCGAAAATTTTTGGCATTTTAGAGGGTGAACGGTGCCATTTGGTACGGTTTAACAATGTAATTCAGCTAGTCAAAATCCTAATTTCAAGAGTGGACCATTGGTGGGATTTTTTTTTTTAGAAAATCGAAGGAGGGATGGGGGTGGGCCAGGACCCCCATGACACCTCCCTAAATCCGCCACTGTCATTAGTTGCTTTATGTAGAGCATGCATTCTGTAAGAATAATGTGCCCTGTATCTTCCAGCTTTAGTTTTACGATGGAAAATCTTCTTATCCCCAGTAATCGGCCGATTATCCAAGGTCCATTTAGTTAATAATTGGCATTATAATGTTAGTATGTGCAATATCTTATACAAGAATTTATCTTTAACCGCCTTGAGAGGAAGAAGAAAATGTCTTTAAAAGGCAGTCGATTCCCAGTTTTAGGATATGTTATTGTTGTTCTTGTAACAGGTAAGACTGTAGCAAATTCTTAAGACTGTCGTCTGATCAAATATAATACAGGTATGTCGTTTATCAAAATAAGTACGTCTTAATTGTATGACCGAGAACCGTTAAATAATTCGCAACGCACTTCACTACTACATGTAGAAAGACGCATGATAATAAGTAGCCCATAGCCTACAATAACGGGCGCTTGCTCATGCCCGCCCGACACCGCACACGCACATACATGTAATACGGTTATACATGTATGTTAATATACATTGTACCTTATGTGTGCTTACCGCCATCCTTCTTTTCTGCATACAATACAAATAATATTCAATTCCCTTTTTTTCGCGTATTTTTTTCTCGCCTGAGGAACTTATTCAATGCGTCTGTGCTTATATCAGTATTCAAACGTGTTTTTTATACAGTTTATAACTAGTTCCAGAGTATCATGTCTTGTCTATCACTGAGCGCACTATAATACCCGTTTCTTACGAAGGGAGTGGAGCGGAGAACGTCTTTGTGTTAGAGTAGGGGAGCCTATATAGGGTGCATGACGTACCCTGTGTTTGCCATAAATCGTGATCGTTTGCTGTGTTCGGTTATTTAACTATTCACCTAACAAAGCGGATTTTAGTCTTGCAACTCCGGATCCAGAACCCGTATTTCTCTGTATCTGAAATGGAAAATGATAACTACTATACATGTTGTCCATACCCCAGGACTATCAGAGTCCTATAAGAGCCTCCCGGTGATGTCCACTGAAGACGTTACGGTTAACATCACCACGCCTTATGTTCCCACAATGGCTGACCAAGCATTTGCCGGTTTTTTAAATTTATTTTAATAAGGCTAATTATATTTCCATACAGCCAAAAGGTTTGTCTTACGTTTTTTGAGAAAATACAACGAAACTTTGACATCTTAATGGTTATATATGTATATTGAATTTGTATATGCCTTGGCAATTGTGATTTTAATTTCAATTTTAAGAAGTATGATTTCACCGATTTAAAGATAAAAATCATCGGCAGTCCTCTTCAGGACAAACTTGTCGAAAATAAGACAAGGTCTGTGATACGATTAATCAGCAAACCGCTTATCCACGTTGAAACTGATAATTGGTAATCTGAATAAAGCTCATATGGTCCTACATTGTATTCATGAAACACTGAATCGACCATTATCGGGTTGTGTATAATTACATCGGAGCTTTTAACTTCCAGGTTCGACAGTTTCAGAAGTAACCCAGGGGCCGTCAGAATTTGTATTAAACTGCACATTTGAAGAGTCCTCCATGTGTAATTTCACGTATGACAGGAACCGCAGTAAGGCAGAATGGATAAGGCACAAAGGTGAAACACCCAGTAAAAGGACGGGACCAGCTGGTGACCACACTACAGGAGGTATGTGCATCTTAGATACTGAGGGTACATGTATTAAAAGGAACTCGTTTAATTTTATTTTGTTCTTGCATGTGCCGAAAAATGTACCTTAACCACACATAATTCAGTACCAAATAATCTAAATGCTTTGCCATCAATCACAAACCTGAGTTGAAAGTACTAGCATACCTATACAAGAAGCTAACAGCAATCCACACACGTTGTTTTATAATGCAACTGATTGAAAAATGCGTTATACATAGATACAGAACTTGTTCTTTCGTCTGACCGACTGTAAACTGTGTGCTTTACATGAAATGAGTATAAGTGTATATGTACAACCTAATGTGATTGATTTTGTGTTTTTTACAGCTGGTTATTATGTGTACATGGAGGCAAGTGGGGTGTTGCCTGATTCTGAAGCCTGGTTACTCTTCCCGCCATTGGTTGAGACGATGTATGCTCGCTGTCTACGGTTCTACTACCACATGTATGCTAATATCGATGCACCAACAGTAGTTGGTTCATTGACAGTGGCTGTCATAAACTCTACTGGGAGCGTTACTCAGACTCTGTGGTCAATGGAGAGTAAGGGCGCATTCCCATAGATTTAAGATCGATCTATCCCCGTGGGGAGTCTCACTAGATTACTGTCAGATAATCCGGCTTAAATGTCCGTCCCGCCTACTACAAGCTGTAAGGGGTAATTTACTTTCGTGCCCGCTCGGCTGACAGCTATTTAGCGTGAACCCCCAGGGAGTTAGGTCTATCTAGTTGGATCGATCTAATCTCTGGGAATGGGGTCTAAGTTTTACTTTTACTACATCATTAATTACATCATTGTGTAAAGGTGGCGTATTTCAAATATAGAAAGCGGATCCGAATCATAATAATCAAAGTGCCGATATTTATCCATGCATATTTCGTAATTCGATACCAGATAAGGCGCAAATATTAAAGAGAACGGATAACTCATCTCACTGGAAAATTATTTAGGTTAATATCTCTTTTAAATCAATATCTGAATCAGATTATAACTGGGCTCATCGAGTGGCACTTTTTCTATAACTGTACGTATCTAAGCGTTGTGATTTCCTTAAAAACAGATAATCAAGGTCCCGCCTGGAAAAATGCCACAGCAGACATACCTGTGGGAGCTACTAGTCTGGCATTTGTGGCAAAACGAGCAGGTTCTGCCTATGGTGACATTGCAGTTGATGATGTGATTATCGAAAATGAGCCTTGCGTTGGACATCTTACTTCAGAGGCAGCTTCTACTACGGTGTCTTCGTCAGTTGCTTCTACGACTACCACTCCTACTACTACAGCAAATATGCCACCCACGACGACCTCACCCCCGTTAACTACGAATACCATGTCTTCAACCACTTCTACTAGTACCGCAACGTCGCCTACCACTCCGACAACAACAACAGCCACACCTACCACTGAGACAACTACTCCGACAACTATGGAAACCACGCCTACCACTATCACAGCCACTCCATCAACCACGACATCCGTGCCCACCACAACCGTTGCAACTACCAGTACAACAACCCGGCCTACCACTACCACAACCACGCCTACCGCTACGACAAGTACGACGTCCATGCCGATTACAACCACTCAGTCAACGACGACATCCACAGTGCCAATCACAACCACAATTGCACCTACCAATATTACAACCACTTTGATGACTGTAACAACCACGCAAACAACTAAAACAACCAAACCTGAAAATACGAAAACCACGAAAACTCCTGCAACAACCACCCCAACCACTGGAACAATCACGTCAACCTCTGCGAAAGCAACGCCAACCACTGCAAAAATTACGCCCACCGCTACCACAAGCAAGCCTTCAACTACTAAAAAAACTTCGCCCACTGTACCAAATAAGCCTACAACTACGACGAAAGCACCTTACACTGTAACAATCATGCCGACCTCTACGATAACCACGCCTACCACTGTAACAACCACGCCAACCACTACGACAACCACGCCAACCACTGTAACTGCCACGCCTAGCACTGAAACAACCACGCCTACCACTACGACAACCACGCCTACCACTGTGACAACCACACCTTCCACTGTAACAACCACGCCAACCACTGTAACAACCACGCCTACCACTACGACAATCACGCCTACCACTGTAACAACCACACCTTCCACTGTAACAACCTCGCCAACCATTGTAACAACCACGCCTACCACTGTGGAAACTACTCCTACCACCGCAGCAAACACACAAACGTCTTCGAATGTAATCATGACTGTAACAAATATTGGTTCCAAGTCAAAAATACCGCCGTCTGGTGTATTAACAATACATACTGCTGCAATAACCACGCCTACTGTTGTAATGACCACACCTAAGATGAGCAAGACAACGGTCGACCCCAAAGCTGGCGATAGAGAGAAACAGAGAAAGGACAGTGAGGATGATAACGCAGGTACATGTACACACACACACACACACACACACACACAGAGAGAGAGAGAGAGAGAGAGAGAGAGAGAGAGAGAGAGAGAGAGAGAGAGAGAGATCATGTGATTGTTAAAAAAATAATGTGAAACCAACTTTTTAACAACATATGCATGCACTGCTGTCTTTCTTAATTACAATCCTATCAAAGGGGTCACAAGCATACTGTTATTACATTTGTTTAGTGCATTGGGCTCTTTATCTTAAATATCTGCTGTTTAACACTATGGTCCATTTCTTTATTTATAATGATGATTAATTTCATGTACACAGCTTATATGTGGAACTGAAATATAGACACTGTAGTATTCACTATGTATCCTGTTGTAGGGAATATGATGCCTATAATCGCCGGATCGGCCGGTGGTGGCGTTGCGGTGCTTCTGACTATACTTATAATTGTTATACTTATGAGACGGTGAGTAATATCATTTTGTTGACGATCACATTACCTTGGGTTCTGATGACTTCTGTGTAAAATATGTTTTGCATTTAATTTCAGATGCATTTTCATTAAGCAAAATACAACTGAGGGAAGCGTATAGCACGTGATGTTGCTGTTATTTGGCAAATTGCTATATTAAATCTTTTTAATTTTCAATAAGAATTAGTGTATATTAAGTATTGTTGCACCCATTTTATGCAAAATTGTTATTCCATTTAAAGATACGAGACGATGGTTTTTAAAATGTGGACGTTTTTTACAGGCGCAGGCAAACTCCGTACACTGACATCAACGAAGCTCCCAGTCCGCGGAGTAGCGTGTATGAATCAGGAGTGTTAAAAATAGAAAACCCCACTTATGACGTGGCACCGTTTCCTCAGCCTGATGTCGTCATTCACAGTCATGACGTCACGGATACACAAGGATATATACAGGACACAGACGGAGAAACTGTTCCACATACCCCTACCACTGAAATATAGCATTGGCTTAAATCTCTTCAGTTAAGGGGAAGAACATCCCATGGCTCTAAGTGGCCAATATGTGACACTGTTGGTCGGTGTATACACATCCATATGACATTTGCAGCACTTGGTTTATTATTGGTGAATAATATAACGAGGTAGCATGTGAAATGAGACGGACAATTAATCAAATGAATGGACATTTTGTAAGAACCAATTGCTGTTCAGTGTCGGTGTTTATATTTTTTAAAAAGAGAAAGCATGATTTAGTTTAGGGTATTTCGTACAAAAAAGTGTGTGTGTGTGTATGTGTGCGTGCGTGTGTGTGTGCGTGCGTGTGTGTGTGTGTGTGTGTGTGTATGTGTGTGTGTGTGTGTGAGAGAGAGAGAGAGAGAGAGAGAGAGAGAGAGTGAGAAGAAAATATAACAGTTTCCAGAAAATTTGGTTTGGTGTCTGGATTATCCATTTCACATTTCATTATCACGAGACCCAGCGATTCAGATAACGTTTAAAAAAACATGAAAGAAAACAATGTCATAATGTTTTTAATATGAACCATTCAGTAGAAAATATACATGTGTTAAATATTCTAAATCCAATTATTTGAACAAATTGTAAACAGTTAAAAAGAAAAATTAAAATTATGTACAGTTTTGTACCACAGAAAGACAAATCAAAACAGTCAATGTACCCAGAATCGAGTTTTAATGTTAGCTTTATCAGGTGCAAGGTGGAAATACCTTGGCGAAACTTCTTAACACAGACCTGTGTTTTTTTTTAATAAAACAATGAGTTTTGTATTATATATTTTTGGGTTTTTCTTTTCTTTTTTTTTGTATTTCTGAAGGAATGAACGTTCACACTTATCGATTTTTCATTAAATTTTCTTTTAACCTCATATTAACAATCAGACCTGCCAGAATAGCGATGCATAGCAATAGGGGTTATATAAGGATTGTTCCACGAGTTTACGGAGCCAATTTTTTTATGGCACATAAAATATATGTAGGGGTCGGTGATCGTTGTATATACATACAGTAACTGTATATAACTGTAAATGAATCTTGTTGCCTCTAAATATGGTGGTGGTTGCAATTAGACATGAAAGGGACATCAGTTTCGACGTTTTCAAATCAAACACTGTAACTATGTGTACGCTATATTATTGATAAGAGGTACAGTACGAACTTCTCAATATCTCTCCCGTCATCTTGACATATGGGTAAACAATAAGAGATAGGAAATATAGAAACCTCTTTGACGGAAACTTAGTTGGGGTCGAAAAGTCACCCGTCATCTTACAAAAGGGAGGTGAATTGTAAATGAAACGTCCGGGCGGCGTTCTTCTAATTTGTGTTTTCATTTTCTGAATTCTTGTTAAAGTTAACCTCCCCAGTCCAAACCAAACGCAGCGATGACGGGAAGAGCAGCTCGAAGAATATTTGGTTGTTTGATGACGGCTGTAGGTCTTCTTGGTAAGTATGATAAAATTACTTTACATCATCCATCTATACTACATGTAATATACCATTAATTAAATAATAGGCACCAAAGGTAGGTTTGATTAAATCATTTTTTACCAAATTCAGGCATACTGTATTTGCAGGGGCGATATATTTTTGCATCAGATATAGAATGCCATTTTTGAAACCGTTCATGATCGTATACTTTATAGCTTCTGAGTCCTGGTCACTCCTGTAAATAGATTTTTCAGTCAGTACGGGCCCTGACAACGTGAACAAAGTAAACCTGCCTCATGGTGGCGACTTGACTATCCACTGTGTCTTCTGTACATGCATTACCCACTTTGTTAAAGGCTTCTGCGTTGTTTATCCATTTAATCTACGAAGCTTATTCAAACTTATTCAAAATCACGCACCACCAAGTGCCAAGGTGAAAAATTGAATGCGACCAGAAAACAGTTGTCAAAATACTGTATCCAAACATGTCGTACACCGAGGCATTACAAAAAAAAAAAAAAAAATAAAAATTAAAAAAAAAAAAAAATAAATAAATAAAATAAATAAATAAAAGAAAATAAAAATAAAAAACAAATAATAATAATAAAATAATAATAATTAAAAAAACTGTTTCTTCGCAAACCATGCGCAACGATTTATGCCTTTTTAAAAATCTTTACAAGCGTGTCTATCGAATCGCATATACTGAACCATTAATTACCAAAATTAAAAAAAAAAAAACATTCGCATTCTCTGAGACACTCGCAGAATATTTATATCCAGGAGCGTATAACTGCTAGATCTGCAAAGACTTTTATTCCATAGCCTCTAAGAAATTTGAACGAACTCACTTCAGAAACTTTAACTTTTTAAAAGAAACTGTTATTGGACTATTTTAAAGAAGCAGTTCCTTTAATTAATGACTTCTTCCTTTATGTTTTATTGTCATATTGTGTTTTAGTTATTTTTGTCGCTCTTTTATTTGCATTTGCTTCTCGTTTGGTTTTAATTGTCATCGTATTGTTTTCACGTATTGGTCATTCCATGACCAACAGGTGCACGTAGGCATTATACTTCTATGGCTGTAATATTGGCCACCAAGAGAATTCCATGTTATATTTGATGTCACCAGGTATAAATGTTCTATCATAAATAAACACAGCTGGATTTAATGCAAAATGTGTCAAACTTCTTATCTTTCAGGTGCATATATAATTGCTTCCATAGATACAGACACTTCACAATGTTAAAATCTTCCTTTAGGTTTATCATCGGAACAAACGGTACATTCTCCAGTGGAAGTTTTGTTGAACTGCACATTTGAAGAGTCGTCCATATGCAATTTTACGTTTGACGGCAGCCATACTAATCCTAACTGGACACGACATAGAGGGAGGACGCCCAGTAATAACACAGGACCAAATGGTGATCATACGACAGGAGGTTTGTAAAATATGTTTAAGGTGATCATCAGTGCATTCGGTCAATAATAAATAAATAAGGTTGTTAGTTATATTACTGGCACACACGTCATTCATGCATCAACCAAGTTAGCTGGAAACCAAATAATAAATGCAATGTATATATATATAACCATATCCATTTTGTTTTCTTTTACACTTTTTTCATTTGTCCTGCAAAGGTAAGGACCAGCGAACGGATATTGTGAAATACGTTTTTCCTTTTTTTGACAGATGGTTATTACATGTACTTGGAGACAAGCGGCTCATTTACAGTTTATTCCGCGCAGTTGCTTTTCCCGTTTATCCAGGAAACGTTTTCACAACGTTGTCTACGTTTCTTTTACCACATGTACGGCTCAACCATCGGTTCTCTGAAAGTGGCATCAGTTAATTCCAGTGGGAGTGTTATTTTTACACATTGGTCAAAAACAGGTAGGCAACCAGGGCCGTAGCCTGAGCAAAATGCCAGGGGGGGCAGTAAGCGGACACGAGGTGGCAAAGCCCTCGAGGGGGGAGGGTGTGGGAGGGGGGTCCCCCTCCCGACCGGGGGGGAAAATTTTTAAAACCTGTATGTGTAATACTGCATTCTGGNCCTCGAGGGGGGAGGGTGTGGGAGGGGGGTCCCCCTCCCACGGTGTGGAAAATTTTTAAAAACTGTATGTATAATACTGCATTCTGGTGCATTTTAACTGTTATTTATTGCTCAATCACAAGTCAGAAATTGTGGGTTCATTTTGCCATAGGTACAGTCATTTTTTCAACACAACATGCCAATTGGACTTCATTTCGTAGATTGTCTAAAAACAGTACACCTTTGTAAACAGATTGTTGAATGATTGTCTAGTGGCCATGAGTGGGATACCAACTTTGCAATTATTTTTATTCACCTTTGCGATTATTTTTTTGCACCTCAAATCCCAGGGGGGGCAGCTGCCCCCCCCTGCCCCCCCGGAGGCTACGGCCCTGGCAACTTCTGCTCTTAAAGCACAAAGAAAATAAACGTGGCACTCACTGAAAGTCGATAAAGTAGTTTTATTGTACATGTGTGATTTTCTGTTATCTTAAATCGACGAAGACAGACAAACAGCAATGCCTATTTCTGCCGAAACTTAATAGGGTCAGTTAAGATTTGGGTAGTTCCTTTTTCGACGATGTAAATTGGATCATAAACCAGTGAGTGGATTTTTAGTGGGTTCCATTATCAACTATAGATCCATGATGTATATTTTAGGATTGCCAATTTAACTTGGCAATAAAGATTTCCATAGAACTATCCAATTTGTAACTGACACGTTACATTTGTAACGTTTGTTACATGGAACATTTTGTAAAATGTTGTCTTTTGGTCCTATAACCAGTGCACGTAGTCAAAAATATATTGGAAATTATCGTGTATTCAAAAGGGATATTCTTTCAAAGAAAAGACGGGGAGACAGAGCAATAAATTAATGTGAGGGCATGGATTTCTTTCAGTTAAGGGCAAATTACAAAATAGATAAACTGAAAGTCGCAGAGAAATAATGCACTCTTTTCTGGTCACTATCGTATTTTCAAAACTATGGTGATCTATGACCATCAACATGCATGTTTTAATGTAATATGTTTGCATAAGGCAGCATTTTACTATTATGGACTTTTGAATCGTTTGAAAGGTAATAATGTCTTCAACCGTTGATATGCATGTCTTAACTGCATATCTGATAAGTATGTCAATTTCGTGTTTAATAGGGAGTCAAGGATCGGACTGGAAACAAGCAGTAGTGAATATCACAGATGGACCGGGTGCCTTAGCTTTTATAGCAGTCCGTGGAGGAGGCCCATTTGGAGACATAGCAATAGATGACGTCATAATTGAAAATGGAACTTGTCTAAGAGACAGTGACGTAGATATGTTTACGGCGACAAATGCTTTACTTGAACCTTCAATCGTTTGGCCTCCTTCATCTTCTGATGTATATACGTATGAGCCCAGCACTGTCTTGGCGACGGATAGCTCATATATGACTCAGTTGGCAACGTTTTCGAACATGTTATCTGCAACTACTGGTGTAGGGTATGTACCTACGCAACAAGTGTTTGCTTCATTCTCAAGTGC